CCCGGCTGCTCCGTAGGGCGGCGGCCCCCACCCCTCCCCTCACCCCACCTCACTCCCTCGCCTTCCTTCGCTGCGCCTCTCCGCGCCGCACGGTGGCTCGAATCCGGATAAGGGGGCCAAAACAGAAAATAAACGACAGGATAACCAGGACAAGCTTTGAACTCCCGACTGGTCACGCGACAGGTGTGGTAGTGTAGTGCATCTAAGTAAAAGTGCATGCGTGAAAGGGGAGCAGGCGGCAAGGCCGCATCTGTATTTCACAGTGTCATAGTTAAATTATGAAAAAAAATAATATCAATCTACGTTTAAACACAAATATCATTGGTTATTCAGCAATTATGACCATTGCAAAGAGTCTAGCCGGATAAAAAATGAAAAAGACGTTTTGGCGTCAATGAAAATTTCAATTAATTTCTTCCCACTAAACAAAGGGGAAAATAGTTTCCACTTTGCATTTTTTAGTATTTTTGCTTGTTTTATGAAATAAATCTCTTGACAATATTTTTGACAAATTTTGGTTTTAAATTAAAATTGTAAAAAATCTCCAAAACAAATATTTTTTGTGGTATTCAGGAATTTTTGAGGTATTTTACCGCAACGGGTAGAGAGAAAGTTATGAAATGCTGCGCGAAAAAACGGCGAAATTTTGGCAGAAAAAACTCTTATTTCCAGGCCCTGGTACCGAAAAAGTAGATACAACCCGGTGCTAATTTTATAAAAATTCCTCCAACACATGGTGTAGCCAGAATCTATATTTTTTGGGTCCTTGATACAGAAAAAATTGAATTCCAACTAAATTTTTAGAAAACTCAAACGCGTTCTGTGAAAAAGAGCTTCACATTTTGCTTTTACATTAACGCTTACACATTTTCTTAAATAAGACTCCAACTGTTTTAACAAAAATGTCCATACAAGACTCTTCTATAATATTATTTAAGTAACATTTCGGTTCTACCATTAGGAAACCGAAAAATTGAGAAATGTTTTTTAAATGTTTTTGGGCTCCGATAGATAGTAGCTGGCAAGAGGATGGGACAAGATAGAAAAACTAGCCCATACCAAAGACATTAAATAACTAATTAGTTAAAAACACTTTCATTATACAGCCATTTACACACCCATTCTGTAACACCACTAGTTATAAATTTTGTTTGAGACATTTTAATTTGTTAAGTCTGCGCAACTACATTTATTTAATAAATAACAGCAATAAAAAATGTAATTTTCAGGTAATAAATGAGCAATAATTATTCCAATTGGTAGTGTGTGACTGCAGTAGGGGCTGTGCTAGTTGTCACTCCTGTCCTACGGCGAGTATCATGATGCATTATATAAATGTCTCTACACTGCATAAGGGGAAGTAAACAACTAACTATTTGCGACACTTTTTCTGTAGACTGATATCTTGCTGACAGAACACGAGAAATCTGTGACAACCGCAACTGAAATATGAATATTATGTTATGTACTACAATTCGTTATCAGAGAAAGAAAAAAAGAGTCCGGGTTGTAATTATGGTCTTGACGTCACTCAACACTCCGCTTCTCAAGAATGAGCATAAATCTCGTTTCTTATCACAGCCTTGGTTTCCCACAGCTGAGATTCCACTTTCATTTTTAAAACGCATGAACATTCATCGTTGTGTGATATAAGGGTTCATTAAATTCTCTCTTTTTCCTGTAAAACATACAATGCCTTGCAGCATAGAGAAATTTTTAACTTAATGTTCTTGATATGTTATAGGATATCTTTAATGTGCATTTCGCTACAGTTGACTAGTACACTGCAAAGTATGTCGTTATAATAGAAGAATGCACTACATAAAAAGATAACACAGTGACTGGATAAATAATTATTTAATATTTATATATAAAATTGTAACTGACTAGATGATTACTCGGTGTTATCCGTGTATTTATTCTTCAGAATCATTTTCTAGCCGACCTGGATGGCCGATGTGACTAAGAGCAGTGCTTCGGTTCGAAAGGTCGCGGGTTCGAATCCCGCCTTGGGCATGGTTGTTTGTCCCCGTCGCTCATGTGTGAGTTCTCGCGGAGGGCCTCGCGTTCTGTTGCCCACAGACGGGATCAGCTCGCGAGTGTGTTGGTGTCAGGTGTACGGTCGAATATGCGTACCAGCGGGATATAAAGGGTAACCGGCTGTCGGCTGAAAAAAAAGAACTAGACAAAAATACGCCATACGAATCATACGAATGATTCACGAATGAGTTATGTCACGGTGTAAGATACATCTTACTTCGTGGTTAAAAGCCCAAATAGGAATACCGTAAAGAACTACACACTGCACGTTTCAAATCTACTTTTAAGCCTCCGCGTACATTCTCGTTAGAGTGCAATTATAAGCAGATACGTCTCTAGAACTAACGTGTGCTATCGCTCATATCGTGTATGATACAAGTCACGTAATTGGGATAAAATGAATTTTCCTAACTGGGAAGGCAGAGTGACAGAAAATTGCAACATGCGTACAGTAATTAGACCGTTCTCGATATCCCACCTTTCAAGGGTGCATGCAAGGTGGAGAGAACGTGGGGCTGCCATGAATAATAAAGGAAATACTAGACGAAACAACTCTGGGCACATGGAGAAGACTTGGATACTATTTGCAGATCCGGAAATAAGAACATATACAATATGGTGAAAAAACTAGTATTTTGCGTAATGTTTGCTTGAAATAAATGCACTTCATAAAAAAACTTTCACCACTTTTTTTAATGTTTTATTCAGGTACAGCAAATGGCACGCACAAAAATGTGCTATTTTCGGTGCATGCAAAAATTTAACATTTTTAAGCGTCGGGAATATCGATTTTTTTGTAAGACAGGTGGTGTAAAGATAACGTTAATAGCAGGAAAAACTCGAAGATCTTGAGTTCGAATCTCATTGCAGAGAAAAAAATTGCTGTTTGGAAACAGTTTTGCAGATGGTAGTTTGGTAGTATTATAATATTGGGTAGCCTTTACAAATAATGTGGGAAAATATGCGCTTTATTAGCACCATTAGTTTAGCACAACTAGCAAAATAGCAACCCACACCCCTTCTTCAGCAACGTGCTGGAGAGCTCAACAAAAACTAAGCATAATGAAGCTATAAGTATATTTTTGCTGAAGAGGAACCTACTACACTTACGAAAAAATGTACGTCAGTGATACAATATTGTAAAATTTGAGCAACGCAATTACCTTCTGTATTAAAACTTGAAATTAGTTAAATTCGAAATGCAATACTTCGAAACATGTGTTATCTATTCTAGTATTTGATCATACAATAATGTTGTATATCCCTGTATATACAACGTTGCTACATGGAATTACATGTCAATCAGACATTTTTTCAAATATGCTTGGCTGGAAAACAAAAATTTTGCTAGGAAAAAAGAATCATATATTATTTCACATCCAGCAATTTAATACAATAATAGAATAGAATATGATCTCTAGTTATTTTTTTGTGGCTCCCGTAAAATTCTTAAACTGTCACAACGGTTGCTACGGCCCATGCTTCAATTACATAGGAACAGCTATGATTCGAAGGCCATGTTAGCCTGTTGCGAAGGCGATGGCGGGGACCAAGATAAGTACGGATAGTGCAATGAAGAACGAGATGGCCATGATGGAGACAGTGGTACGGAGCCAAATGGGTGTCTCAGCAGCGCGGAATGGGGCAACTAATGGTGTCGACGAGGAAGGAGTGAAATGAAAACGGCGTCTATTTAATGATGAAACTGTCAGGGAACAATGCTGCGGAGGCGTTGAGAGACGCACCAATGCAAGAAACAGGGACAATAACAAAAGTAACCAAGAGGTGAGCAGCATAGGAGAATTAGTCGCTAAAATAGCTGTAGATATGGCATTGAAAACAGATGTAGATATGGCATTTTTTTGTTATTTAACGATGCATTAACATCTAGGTCATTAGCGACGACTATTGCGTTTAACGGCGTGGTACCTGTGAAGACGACATGATATGGTGATGATAGAGGGTGAAAGGACAAACACAAATACAATAATGTCTGAGGCGGGTCTCGAACCCACGATCCTTCGGTCCGAGATCGCTACGGCACAGCAGCCTTAACGACGACGGCCATTTGCAACGGCTGGGCGTGTGTGTGTGTGATGTGTGTAGTTACGTTTGTTTTGGAATCGCTCAAGCTGTTTGCCTTGGATAATGCTTGGATCACTGTAAGATGAGGCAATAATGGGACAGTGAAAATGGCTGCAGCGACGGCTGTGGAGGGAGTGGCAACGAGCAGCAGTGGTGGGAGCAGCATTTTCTGCGGGATCTTAGGTGACGCGGTAGAGTGAAGGGGATTGCGTAACAAGAGTCAAGGTCGCGACTGCAAAGCTTCAGAGGCATGCTGAATGAAAACAGTGAGAGCTTGGAAGGATTCGAGTGCCCGCGGAACAGTTCGAGATCTCCGCCACTCATTCATCTGTGAGTACCCACTTAGTATCATTATCTTAATTAATCGTATAGTGTAGTAGGTGACCAAATAGAAACGACTGAGTTAAACACCACATACGGTTTAATTAATTGTTTTCCACTGTTCCAGTAAAGAACTTAAATTTGCGCAAGCGAAAATAAAGCACAAAAATAGAAGTTAATACCACTATATTCAAAATTAAGAATGAAGTGGAAAAAGTCATATTTCTGCAAACATTGGTTTTCTTCCCCGCATTTCCTTTGCATAGTGCATAGTGATAGTACTAGGTGAAATTTGTGCTTCGTGTTATTTGCAAAATTATGAACGTTTGTTCATGAAACGCTTGTTTTGTGGAACAAAATGTTTATGTCGATTTTAACATTTTTGTTTGTAGTATTCTCGGAAAAGAATTTATATTATTACAGATCTTACTTCTTTTTACGAAAGGAATATCTACCAGATACATTTTCAAATTCAGTTTAGAGATCGTTACACATTACATTCACACATGACTACCATATTCTTTCTGGTTTTAAGTTCACCTTATGAGCAATTTAAGCGTTTTAGTAAGTAATAGATTAAATAATCTATTAATAATAATAATAATAAATAATAATAATAATAATAATAATAATAATAATAATATTTCTTTCACAACTAGATTTTAAGTGTCCGTTAAAAATAAATTCTACACCAGATTGCAAACAATTTCCTATGGAGAAAATCTAGTCATTGATAGCATCTACAATACTTCGCTCAAAATATGAGCTGTTCCCAATAAGACTTGCTTTTATTAGTCTTTTGAATGACCTAGAAGTTTGTACAAGTTATTACATACAATTTTCGGAAAATCAAAAAGCTGTAATAAAAAGCGGATGGTTTTTGTTTACTCCACACATCGCCTGATTCCGCTTTCCAAACCTTTAAATTTAAGGCGTTTTTCTACGTCCTTGGTTATGGAGCGGACGTTCTGATTGCATGCACTGCAGCATCGGTAAATACACACGATTAGTTCCGACTATTTTTATCATCATTATAATAATCACAATTACAATTAATATTTTAGCTCAACTTGTGAGATTTCATTGCATAAAAGACCTCTAGAAAAGTTACAGAAAAATACTTAATATGCCCAACTCGCGAAATTGAAAACCACAAAAATGTTTTTTCATGTTGCTCTGCGCTTATTCTCAAAAAATTAGGGAGATTTATAAACTCTTAAACAATACAATCAATATTCATTTAAAGACAATGTTAAATACATTCTGACAATGTAATTGAAATGATTTAGATTTTCCAACATCTGTATATGTATGTTAGACTGTATATTGTATGTTGTATGTTCATGTATTGGACTATAGTAGGATATCCTGCTATGCATCATTACTTGAAAACGTAGAGCGTCACTTTGTAATCACTGTTGTTGGTTGTTTTTTTTGTTCGAGAATACAAGATGTAAACGATTGTTAGGGATTGCACTTACATACACTCACTATTTAGAAGCATTCAATATTCGAACTTAAAAAACTTGCTATCGCCAACTAATATCGTAATGCAAGAAGCAATGTAAGTGTTACATCATCGAGTAATACACCCTATAAGTAATGAAGAAGTTCGTTGTTTCATGTAACTTATGTGTTACATCACTCATACGCTTGCTCTCGCTAAAGATAAAACGTTGACTGCTTTCACCGATCGATTGAAATTCGCAAAACAAAAACGTCAAAGATCAACTACATATTGAAGTTTGTCTTGAAAAAGATGTAATGATTAATTATTCGATTAATTTTAATATATTATGCAAATATACAACTGGGCTTCGGAGAGAGAAATGTGTTGCTTGGTCTGTAGTAGCCTACACGTTTGCAATAAATGGTAATATTAATAGTAATAACAATAATAATAAAAATAAAAATAATAATAATAAAAATAAAAATAATAATAATAATAATAATAATAAAACTTATTGTTCTTTCTACACAACGAAGAAGTACTGATAATACACCTAGGCCCCACTACCTTTCATTTAAAGAAATAATAACTGAATGTGGTTGAGAAAAAAATTTTAGTATGCGGCCCAAATTTGTTATCCAATAAATTAAAAATTACGGCCACATACTAGAGGCCGCAGACTGCAGCTTCATTACAAACTTGGCGAGACGCGTATCTATGCGACAATGCCGCTTAACACGTTTGGCAAATCACGGTTCCTCAAATCACGTTAGGTCGCGACTTTCTCATTTGAACTACAAAACAGAATGTCCTCGGTAGCTCCCGTTCACCGATCTCGCGGCGTTGGAGTGCATTCTTTTCGATACGGGACCAAAGCCTCGTTTTGCGTCACAGGAGAGCATGGCGTCCGCTTGGCCGCGCCCGTCCAGCGCCCCCCTGCCCATGGTGTATCGGCGCTTCAAGGGGCCACGCCCCATGCCCGACGGCCGCACGCCCAACTTCTGGATCCAGGACATCACGCCCGACCAGGACGAGCAGATCGTCGACTTCATGAGCGACGGCTTCCTCAAGGTCAGGATGTAGCGTCTCAACGGGGTGAGAGATGAATGCCAAACAATTTTCGAAAATTGATTTTCGTTTTTCTATGTAGATCGTAATTGAAAGGACGAGTTAACGAAGTTGTTTTTTCGCGTATTCCATGAAGAGACTTTTGGGAGTTCTGTTTTCAGTTGTGCGATTACGAAGATAATGCATTTGAAAGATAGAGCAGTATTTTCAACAGTAATTCAGGCGATCTCTTGACAAAGGGACGCGGCAAAATGTCGTTTTGAGAAAAACGCTATTGAAGGTTTCTACCACTTTTATTAAATAGCATTGTCAAGTAAAACATCAAACTGAAATAAGCTTTGATATAACGAACACCTTCACTATCAATCTATTATGTCATTCGTACACGACACATACATGTTTCAACATACTACAGCGTACTTGATAATAGTACTAAAGTGCCCTTCTTCCAAAGAACACAAAATGCTCTGCACGAAAAGTGAAAAATATTAACACGAAGCAATATATTATGTGTAGGAAAATAAATAAACGCAAAGAAAAGAAACCTGTGGGTGCAAACCACATTTCTAAGGAATTGTATACAAATTCAAACAAATTCAACCCCATTCCTGCCTGCGGGAGACGTGAAGACAGGACGATTTGTAACATTTTACTTTTGCTGGTTTAATTTCATTATAGGGGCCAGGTTCAATGCAATATTTAGGTTTGAATTCCTTGTTAACCATATTTGAAATATTATATAAATGGCAATGGAAATTGTAGAACACAGCAAAGAACGAACCTTTGTGTACCTTATATGGTCATATTTCTGGACCTGGAAGATATTCTTTGCTTTTCTTTTTTAGAAATTAGAGGTTTCAACACTTCCGTCTAATTCTTTATAATGTCACAATCCATTACCACATCGAAAAGTGAAGAGTTAGTACGACATTCAGCCATGGCCACCAGATAAGGTATAGCATTGCTAACTACTGTCTTTGTCTTCACGACATGTAAAACAATACAATAACTTGCAATATAATAATTTGCAGAGAGACACGAAACAATCTTAATACCAAGAGCAGTTTGTGGGTATGTTTCAAACATAATAACTGCACTTAATACTAACACATGAAAACAAACATTTCTCAAATTGTAGATTACGAGTGTAGTACGGCGATTCGTTTCAACAGATCTCCGGAAAAGAGGCTCAGCCTGCAGGCCCTTCGTTAGGAGTTCACCTCAAGTATCTGTTGAGTAAAATAACAATAGTCCTATTTTTAACAATTTCGTGACTACAAGTTGAATGAGCGTTTCCTCGAAATTCTATATTCACCTACCTCACCGAAACCTGACTTACATGTTTTTCGAGTTAATGAAATTCAATAGAAGCCAAATATTCAAATGTGATCTAATCCTATTCCTTTCTCCACGTATCGCTTGCAGGGTATGTGAAAACTTAAATTCTTTACAAGACACTTTTAGAAACATATTTTCTCCACAATAAAGAAAAGCCTCAAATCTAATGTTTAAAAACAAACGTCTCAATCTTTCGTTACTTTCCTACTCGTGTAAAACTACGAAACTCTGGAAACAAAGTATCTATGAATAGTTTCTATTGATTTCCAAGAACAGTGCCTAATACTCATAATGCCCATTTTAAGAACAGTGACAAATTTATATGGCAAGGACAATGCGTTGTTAAAGGCATTATTTCTGCTTTATAAATTGCAACGGAAGTGATGACTCAAAATGTACTAATTGTGATCTGCTCAAATTTCCCTTTTGTAAACTAATAATCATAATTTATTTAAAATTTCTACTATTTAACTTTCGTCTGTCCTGGCTTTCTCAGTATTTACGTCTATTCTCTTTTATTAGTTCAGAAATGGAACTGTTGCGGGTCATAGAAAATGTATACGTGGGACGACATATGGGATATCAAACGTAAAAATTTTACGAAGGAAATTTCACTCGTTGAATTTAAACTACTGATATAACGAAAAACATAATCTTTCTGAAAACGTTACAATTTCTGTTTCCTCCAATTTCCTTTCAACAACAGCTGCTCGCTGAAGTGGCAACAGAATGACAAAAACATTAAATATTATACAATCGAACTCATCACATTGTTTATTTGCAAACGCATGTATTCTTCCACTATCGCATTCATGGCCATGATCTCTTTTTTATTCTTCTTTTCTAGCTATTCTTAAATCTAGAAATAAAATAATTCTTGATCTTCCTACATAGAAAATAATTGTAATAGTTTATTAACATCCCTAGGAGGGGGGACTCAGGAAGCTTGTCCGACTTGTACTCGATTCCTATCATTCGTAGCTACACGCCGTATCGCTGGTGGATCTCCTCCGGCCTTCATTTTACGTCCGAAATTCAGATAAAAGTTCAGATGTTTCTGTCCGTTCAAAACACCGTCACTCAACTACTGTACGCAAACTCGCTTTTCATTATTAAATCCCTTTAAAATTAAATTACTTCACTTACAAAAAAATCTCAGGCAAATAGTCTAACTGCACTGTCAACATCCATCTGCTTCCACAACCAAACTCGATCTGTCCTGCAAGTCATAATGCCTATCTTTCACTTTTCTTCATGCCCGATAGCGTTCCAAATCCGTCTGTTCTTGCCTGCTCGACGCATCGCCTTTTAACTATCTGGCAAGTGTTCTTTCCCCATTACCTCTTGCTTGTTCTAACATCACGTTATTTGTTCTTTGACATCCACCCTCGGTTTCTATTTATTATTTACAATGTTATTCATGGAAATTCCTCCCGTGTCCACAAATAAGATTAAACACATTATTTTCCACCAGTTTACTACACATGCCACTTTTCACTCTCCTACTTTGTTTATATTTTAATTTTTTCGTCACTATTGGCCTCTATTGTTGTTTTCGTAATGTATTCCCTATAGACTTTTGAGATGTTTTTCATAACACTCGAAATAATCCACCACATAATAGATTTCATTTTTTTAGATTATTAGTTTATGGAATATTATTTTCTTATGCTGGCTTGGTATTCACAGATAATTACAAAAAATATTTCCCTACGTGTAGTCATACGTTTTGGTAACTTCCACTGTTGTATTTAAAGACTTGAAACAAAATTTGAATATGAAAAAATATTTTTATCGATGCAAACTAATTTAATGAACGCCTTAGATACCATCCAGTAAAACGGTCACCGAAAACTGTCATCGGAAGAAACGGTCATGATGGTAAACGGTCATTTGGAAAAGACTGTCATCGGGAAAAACGGTCATCGGGGAAAACGGTCAGCGGGGAAAACGATAATTTGAGAAAATGTTTATTCCGTAAAATGAATTCAGAATAATGCCAGGTAATCCAATTTGCCTGTTCCCCCGAACTGGCCCGTTCAGGGCCCCACCGCAAACCCTTTCAGCCCTCGGTCGCCGCCCGCGTTCCCTTCGCCTTCCTTCCCCAGCGTAACGCGTGTGGCGGCTGCTGCTGCAGGAGGAGTTCATGTGCTCCCGGTCGGGGCTGCCCGAGGACCCCGTGTCGCTGCAAGAAATCCGCGACGAGTGGCGCCAGCGACTGAAGCACCGCGCGGGGCTCGTGGCGCTCACGGACTGGCCCGACGGGCCCCACAACCCGCGAATCGCCGGCTGCAACGTCACCTACATCACCAGACGCGGCGATCCCCTGATAAAAGTAAGCCTTCAATGAGAACAGTTGACGGTAAAAGGAAAATTCGCTCATAAACACATAATTAAACATTGATTAATTGAAGAATTCATTGATTTCCAGTGAACGCTATGGCGTAGGGGGGATTTTGATAAGCTAAAAATCACTAAAATTGACCAATAAAATGCTCTTAAAATGTTTTTAATATGTCCTAAAATTTAAGAAAAACGACGTAAATAATTTGATATGTTGGAATCAAGGCTTCTTCCTTAGTAAATTTCAAGTTTCAAGTAAATTCAGCAAGCCAATTGTGGGTTTGGACCCGCCCAAAATAGGTGGCCAGACCAGGAAATCCTTGTCTTTAGTTATCGTGAAATCCGCCAACCAGTAATAGTGCTGAAGGTGTCACAGGAATCTTAGTTTACATACTCACAACTGTCGACATTACAATTTCTGAGCAAAGAAATAGATTATGATACTCAGGAATTCTGTGAAGGACATTTGTTGCAACTCGTAAATATTATGTGAAGCAACACTATTAAAATGATATTAAAATCGACTAAATTCGACTTTAAATGTTTTAAAAATGACGAAAAAGGTAAAAAATGACTTATTAATCAAAAGCGAAGAAAAATGCAAAACAATTGCATACAAACATTGGTTATTTCTTTTTGTCATAACGTAAATTGAATTTCTATACTTAAAAGCGTTTTAAAGTGAAAAGAAAAAAATCATTAAAATCCGCTGGTGATGAGTCTCCTTAGTTGAGAAAATACTTTTCCCGGGAGATGGCGGTGTTCTTCCCTTAGTGAATGGGGAGACCCGACGCAGTCCTTCGACTCGCGAGGCTTTCCCTCTCCAGGCACCTCCGCCAGCGGGGCACTATCCAGCTCTTAGTTCCCCACTGGTCTTCTCACGTGAGTGATAGTCTGATAGAGTAGGGCATGTAAGTTCCTTAATATATTTGTGTGTGTGTGTGTGTGTGTGTGAGTGTGTGGGACCGTTTGTTAGAGTACTGTCCCGGCATTCGCGTATTGAACGTAGGTACCATGGAAGACTGCCGATCAAGGTAGCCAGACGTCAGAATTTTCCTCCAGTCAGCGGTTGAATTCCATCTACCTATATATCTAATTTGTAAAACTATGAATACATTTACAAGGTGCTTGAGAGTTCGTGGTCACGTGGTGCCGTAACCAAATTAAAAACGACGGCACTTGTCAAACGTTGTCAATTCAAAATACACAATAATTAAAATCTTAAAGAATCGCGTTCCCCGAATTCTGCAGGAGATCATTACAAGTATTGAGTATGGGGTAAAAACTAGTCATGATACAGAATGACACACACTTTCAAGTATTAGTTTTCTATTGCCTTTGGTCTCGGCTAGCTTTTCGGACTTACTATGTACACTTGCCAGCTCCCATCTATCGCCACCCAAAGTACATTTTTTACAAAATTTTCTTCATTCACCTAATAATAAAACGGAAATGTTATTTTAAGAATATTAAATAACAGTAAAATCTCGTCCTAAATGGTAATTTTCTTTGAAAAACTTGGAGTCATTTTTAAGAAAATGGCATTTAAGCGCTACTGTAAATTCGTAACTTAAAGCTCTCTTTTACAGATAATTTTTGAGTTTTCCAAAAACTTCATTTGAAGTCATTTGAAGCACTTTAACTCACAAATCCTATAGTGTTTACAAATGGCTGGAAATGTCTATTAACGGCGTGAGAGAACTTTCGAATACATTAAATTTTTGTAATTTTGAAAAGAAAAATGAAATCCAATTCCAAAATGAATTTTATGTCATATTAAAGAGTGCAATTAACACTATCCATGTGGGAGTCAGGGCCTCCTTTATTAACAAATAAGAGACATTCACTTCCCATTGAACTGATATGTTAGCCTATTGAGATCATAAACTTTATCATCTAAAAATATACATACACACAAAAAAGTGACCAATAAAATACTTAAAACAAATAAATAAAAAAGTAGATGTGAGCCATTTTTCTCAAAAAAAGTTCAGCTTGACAAACAAATGAAATACACCTTGTACATGCGTCTTGTACATGGTATGTACAAACAAAGGGATACACTCTCAATAATAGAATCTTGTAAAAAAATATTGGAGAATCTGTAGAAACTTGTGATGTCTTTGCATTGACATCGGCAATTTTTGCACATGGATTATCCTTCCTCGGTACAATTTATTTTCAAAAAAAATTTAAAAGAAAAGTTTGAATTTTAATTCATGGTTATTGCGGAGTTACATACGGTTTACAGTCATTGAGCCTTTCGCCGAATTTTCGTGGAATGCCCCCTTTGAATCCCAAATCGAAAGGTGAAATTATCATTAAAAAAACGTTGTTATGACTGTTATTGTGGTGGTGGTGACTGGTGCGGCAAAACGACGGCTCTCGCCATCCAGCGGGGGGAGGTGGCGGGAGGGGCCCCTCCAACCACGCCGTACAAAGGCCGCAGCAGTTGAGCGCGCGGCGCCATTGCAGGCGGAGGGGGCGGCGCTGCGCCACGTGCTGCGCGCCATGCACGCGGTCGAGGCGCGCGTCGACCTGTTCGCGCGCTTCGGCGTGGAGGCGTACCTCAACGCGCTGGGGCTGTCGGTGGCGCCGGCCTTCCGCGGCCAGGGCCTGGGCTGCGAGCTGCTGGCTGCGCGCGAGCCGCTGCTGCGCGCGCTCGGCCTGCGCCTCACCATCGCCGTCTTCACGGGCCCCGCCGCGCAGAAGGCGTCTGCGCGCGCGGGCTTCGACGTGCTGGCGCAGCACCGCTTCGTCGACTGCAAGGACGACGACGGCCGCGAGGTCTTCCCCGACGTGCCCTGGGAGGTCTTCCAGCTCAAGGCCAAGTACATTGAGTGAGGAAACACTACATTCCTTGGTTCGTGTTTCGCTCAGAATTATATTGTTCTGCCAAAGTGTACAATAATGCAAATAGCTTTTAATACACTACAGCAAATATTTCTTGTTATCAAGTTTGGCAAAAAAACGCTCGTTCATAACTTAAGGGTCTATTTGTAAACTGTGCCCTCTTCATGATTTTTTTAAGAACGAAAATAGTTCCCATTCAGCCTTATTAATTAATATAGTATTCAGGAATTTTTGCATATTTTTTAACCAAGTAGGAGAAACACTTTTTGGCAGCGTGAAGGTAAACCATTTTAATATCAATACAGTATCAATGGAATATATTGACACGTGAAAAAACAAACGGATAAGAAGATTCGTCACTTTAGAAATAAGGTCTTCCACTGAGTTGGTTAGAACTAGAGTGAGCCAACTCTACTCTATAAGGAATTCTGTTTTACAAGCCCTCCTCATAAAAGACAGTGTTCCAAATGTTGTTCGTGCTGTATAAATCAGAACTAAGCAAGAAACATAACCTAATCATGGGGGAGTCCAACCCATCAGGTGCTGAAAGTGTGTACATTGACACGTTATCTCAGATTAAGCTACAGGCTCTATTTTAACCACCTAGATTCTGCTGTCTTAGAATGAGAGCGCTAGAAGGAACTTCTGGAGCTCAAGAAAGAATGCGCACATTGCTCTAGTTTCCCATACGACACACACTGCCACACAGAGGTTTTTTGGCATGGTCAAAGTAAATAACTGCGCTCTCTGCGGAACTGTTGCTTTCTAGAAAGTTATACGCTATCTTCTCTCGTAACTAACTCACTACTTCCGGTCGCAAGAAGTTTCCAAATAACTAAAAGACCCTGATAACTTAGTCAATGAGAGACTCTTAATTATGAAGCATTTTAACAGAAAATTTTAATGAGTTTACGTTACGAGACGAGAAAAATGGCTTTATTACTTTCATCATCGCACACTAGCTGCACAAAATGAAGAGAATTAAGACAAAAAAAGCATTTTTTGAAATAAACGTTAATGTCCAACATCTACTGATACTCAAACCCTTCCAGTGCTGCAAATTCACTGATAATCAAAACCTTCGAAACAGGACGATTAGTTTTCTGACACTTCACAGCAATTCCTTCAAAACGGGGTGAAGTTAGTACAATAAGCAAAATGTGGCATCAAGGAAATTCTTTAATACAGTATATTTGACAATCCTGATGTGGGTGCCACTGTTTTTAGGCAATAGTTAGTACTAAAGATTTGATTATGTCCTTAATCTGAATAATATTGATTCTTAAATATAACTCATGGATATTATAGTACATCAATGTTTCGTTGTTTCAATGTTTCATTGTAATAGTAAACAATAATAGCAAGTAGAAGATATATGTTTTAAAAATTTTAGAATTAGACTAAATATACTTAATTAGCTAAATTGAATAGAATGTGAATTATTTATCCATGTATCGTTATATTCAATGTATTTAAACTCGGATGTTACAATGTAAAAAAAATCTGCACAGTTTATTGTTATATACTCATTTGATATAACTTATACGTTGCAGTTTCAAAAACTAAAATAAATTGAGGTGTACATGTGTTTTGCACATACAATAAATATTGTATCTTAAAATGAAGCGACGTTACGAAAATTCATTCCTTCTAGCGTTAATTTCAATAGTTACGTAATGTAATTTTCCTACTTCTTCCCTACTAACATTTCACACTTTTCTTAAAATACTCTTCATTAAACGACGTCAGAGAGACACACTCTTTAAATTTTTGGAAAGCCAAAAGATTTGAAAAAAATAGTACGTCTGCATACTAGTCGGTGGTTTTCCGTAGTTTCTCCTATGCACATCAGGTGAATGCCGGAGCAGTACCCGAACAAACGGGCGAAGGTCCGCGCGCGATTCTTGCTTTATCGTCCGTTTCCTATCACCATCCCTCGCTTACACTTACTCATTCTTAACGGGAGACCAGTTGGGAGCTTAGAACTTGTCCAGGCTGGGAGATGTCCCGCAAGTGGGAGATACATGGAACGGAATAACTCCGCTAGTGTACGTGCTGGACGGCGCCAGATTTTACACCCAAAGGGGGGAGATCAACGCCAAGTCCCGGGAAAAACAAATCATGCACTTGGGGGGCGAA